ATGATGCGGTTCTGTTGGCATCTGGAGGTCACGCCCTTTAGAGGTTGCCGGGTCAGGAGTGAGTCTTTGCCTCAAATGGATCTGTGAGTCTTGCTCACGAGTCATAGGATGTAGCGGGAGATGGATTGTGGAGTCCTCATCTGCAGTAATGAGGGTGTTGCTCCGTTCTGTTGGTGTAAAAGAGCTGAACCAAAAGGAGAAGCTCTGGTTTTACTGGTCTGTTTATGTTCCAGCCCTCATCCACGGATCATGATCGACAGATTGAGATCCTGGATCCAAGCAGCTGAAAAGGTCTTCCTTTGCAGGGTGGCTGGACTCAACCTTAGGGACAGGGTGAGGAACTCTGAGTTGAGCTGCTCTTCCTCAATGAGAGGAGTCAGCTGAGGAGGTTCACCGCTCCCTGTGGAGGAGCTTTAGACATGTCCCATTGAAAGGAGACCCCAGGGCAGACCCAGAGCTCACTGGAGGGACAAATGTGTCCTCTCTCTGGACTGGGGTTCACCAGCAGAAGCTGGAGAGCAGGTCCTGGGTCTCCCACCTGGACCTTGAATAAGGAGCTGGAAGTGAACGGATGGGAGGTCCAGTTGTGTGTTGTGTCTGTTATCGGTTCTAAAAGTCTTTCTGCTCTTGATTCTTTACGTTACTGAGCAGTCATCGGGTCTTTTCATTTAATTTCTGTTATTCACCAACTGCGTTGCCATCAAAACCCACTCCACCTCAGTGTTGTTGAAGCTCTCGTGCAACATCTTGCAGCAAATGTTTAAATCTGTTCAGTTTTTCTTGTTGAGTCCGTTTAGACCTCAGATCCTCCTGGTTTGCTGTCATCTGTAGACGTCATGAGCTACAGATGGTTTCTTCTGTTTGTTTCTACTCCCACTAAGTTCCCAATCATCTCGCTCATTGTTGGAAATGAAACCCAAGTGGTCCTGCAGTTCTTGGTACATCCTGTCAGCCACGGTCACACCCTTTATGTGTGACTTTAAGCCTCGGATCAAATTAAAATAATGTATATTAGAATTAGCAGCTTGTTCTAGAACAGCACCGCTCCAGGTGGCTGCATGTTGGAGCAGCTCTGTTACTTTCATTCTGAGATTTTGATTTTGGAAACTTTAATTCCTCTTTTTCTGGATGTAAATCACATTTTTTGGATGATTGTTTCCTCTGGTATCAGATGCTGTGCAGCTGGAAGGATTTTTACTGCAACTCTTTTAGTTTTGGACATTTGTTATGATGCGTAACCATGGCAACAAGGCAGTTTCTACAACCAACAGCTGATTAACATCTCAAAAGCTCAAATAATATCTCAACTACAGCCCCAAATCTCAAGTGAGTTGAAAAGGATGTTCTGTGGACGCATTCTCATCAACCTGCCAGCTGTGCTCGAGTGCCTGACCACTGAGATCCTGGAACTAACAGGAAACACGGCTCATGACAGCAGAAGGACAGGATCGTCCCTCTGCACCTACAGTCGGCTGTCCGCAGCGACGAGGAGCTCAGCAGACTGCTGGGAGGAGTGGCCATCGCTCTGGGAGGAGTTCTGCCCGGCATTCAGGCGGTCCTACAGACCGGGGGAACCGAGAGGCCAGCCGAGTCTGGGTGGACGGATCGGACGGCATCTGCAGCCAGTTTCTTAGGATCCACTGTGGGATGGACCTTTACAAGAGATCCTTCCTGTCTACAGCATCAGCATCTATAACATCTCTCAATGAAATGAGGATAACGAGTTACAACAACAAATAATTTCCCTCTGGGATTAATAAAGTATTTTTGAATTGAATTGAATTATTGCTGGCTGTATAAATGTCTACCGCTTTAACACAAAACTGTTTTTTAGCAATATAAAACCAACTGAAGCCTAAAACACAGAGCCTGGGATCAGTTTTAGTTTAATGCAATTTAGTTTCGTTTAGTTGTTTGGTTAACTTTAAACTAATGTTTTCTGTTTGTTTTAACTTGAGGCGACTAAACGAGTTGTAAATCCAAACTTCCTGGTTCATCTAGAGCGTCCTAAACCGAACTGTTGCAATGACGTCTGTATCCTCCGGAGAGGATGCTTCTGACGAACGTTTGGTTGGTTTGTCTTTGTTAAAGATCTAACCTGTTAGTTTTTCATGGCTCTGATTCAGCTGTTCCCATCCTTGAAGATGAAAACCTTGTAATCCAACAGCAGCATCATAATTATTCAGCTCTCGATATCATGCGAGATCGAGTTGATGTTACTTTAAGGTTTGATTAAAACGACTGCAGCTCCGTCATTTATCAACTTAAAACCCTTTTAGTTTAAAACTACATCAGAAGGTGGCGGTGACGTGCGTTCTTTCAAGAATCTAAATCTTATTTTACCCTCAATGGTTGGTGTGTTCTTGTGTTTTAACACAAGAAAATAATTTATTAATCGTCAGGTATTGTTCCGTCACGTTGCTTTAACCAGCATCCGATAAAAAGATCATAAAAACAAATTCATCTCATCTTTGACGAAGTCGCTGCAAGCTGCAGTAATTTTTTTAAATGTTAAATCTGAACTAGCAGCGTCTAATTATGCTCAGATTAAAAAAAATGTCTGAGTGGAGCCGCTTTATGTTCCGCTCTGATCGTTAACGAGAGTTGAGCAGAAATAATCGCTCAATAATCACAGAAGAGCCTCAGTTCTCATGAACCTCCATATCTACAGAACAATCAGCGTCTGCAGGAGGAACGAGCGCCCGTTTAAAGGCAGATGTGTGGCTCAAGTTGCATGAAGATGGGCAAGATTCAATCATGCACTTAGTGTTAAAATCACATTTTTGTGTGTCTGTTAGCAAAATATCTTATGAACCACTGCAGGGATTCAGCCTGAGAAAGTAATGTCATAAACATCTGATTACCTTTTGGGGTCAGTCCAGCTCAAGATGGCCTCCACAGCTTATCGTGCGTGGCAGCCACAGAAACGACTTGAGCTCTGTTGTTGTTACAGATGTTGAGCTAAAGCTTGGTGTGGTAGTAGCTGAGAGTCGTCCCCAACACTTTCATCAAGCTCATGGAAACTGACATGAGGCAGCGGGCGACGTTTGTTTCACCAAGGAGTTCTACTTTCATTTATGTAGTATGACATATTCTGAGATATATTCATACATTAAACAGGTTCACTCATCTTTCTGGACTGTGTGATGTTCGTGCGTTGAATTCAACAGAAATGTGGACGTGAGACGTTAATTATCTTTGACTCACCAAGCGAGTGGGTCATTTATTAACAGAATCAAGTTTAACACATCACACATTTACATTAATTTGGCAGAATATGAAAACAACAACATAATTAATCAGCTTTACAACCAGGAAAACCATACGGCCATGATTTTCCGTTGCTTCACCACAGACATTAATGAAAACATCTGGATTAATTTTCTAGCAGAAAGGAGAGTTTAAAGATGGAAAATTGAGATTTATCTTACAGAGAGATGTGTGAGGGAATTTATCTGTTTTAACCAGAACGTGCACGCTCCTTCGGAAATCAGCTTGTCCCACAGTACACTTTTGGTGAAGGTCGACTTTTACCTTTTCTGAAGATAGATCAGTTCCGGCGTGGAGTCTCACTTCCAACCACTGTTCAGTGTCTCAGTGAGAACAACCAAATACCTCGAGAGCCGTGCGAGGTGATCCAAACAGAAGTTATAATTCCCAAAATCGTCTCTGGTTCAGCTTGTTTGGTTTAGCAGCATCCATGAATGCCTGCGTTTGCATTCAGGTACTCCCAAACTCTCTGCCTTCTGGATTCCAAAACTCTTGAACTCCACTACTTGAACTGCTGCTCCATCTTCAAGACTGAGCTTACAGCAGCTTCAAGACTGAGCTGAACTCTCTACCAGAACTCTTCTGAAACTCTTCTCTTTGAACTAGGAAGTGCCAACCTTTTTATGAAGGGTCACTTCCGGTTCATTTGAGAGCTTTTTGATTGGTGGATGGACCAAAGCAGAGGTGTGGTTTGTGATGTAAGGTGTTATGGAAAGTCAAGGATTGTTTAAGAACAGACAGAAAGATATCATGGAAAAACCAGACTTTGTGGAGCCACCTCTCCTGTATCTCGCTGTAAAAGTTAAACATGACATTTCTTTTCAGTAAACTTTCTAGTTGACCGAAGCCTGAACTCTAACACACTTACAACTTTGCTCACTTCAAGCAGACGATCAAGAAATTGAATCATTACTCTCTAACGTTCTCTAACTTGATTTCACTTTGAATTGAGGACTAAAAATCATTACTACTGTTTAAGTAAATAAAATGAGTAGTTCACTTCAACATGTAAACATTGTTTGAACTAACACAATTTGATTATCAAACATTTGTAAAATAGTAATGATCATAGAGAATTGTCTTTTCCACTTGATTAATTCAAGAAAGAAAGTCTCAGGATGGGTCAAACTGTATTTCTGGATTCAAATCAATGAAATGACAGTTTCTGTCCATCTGGTCAGTTTTGACATCAGGCCTAGTCCACTACATTTATAAAAAGCTTTTTAATTAATTTAAAGACAAAACTTTAAAGCACAAACTAAAAAAACATTATCTTTCTGATAAAATAAATGGTGATCAGGAGTTTTTAAGAAGTTTAACTTTAAGGTTTTATTTGTTTCTGTGGAGTGGGTATCAATCTATGATCCTCGTTTAATTAAACTACGGGAGTTAAAATGTGTGTAACGCAGGTAAACGTGTCACTTTGTGGATGTTCCAGGTGTGAGGTGCACCTGATCTTTCCTAAAACCGGGTCTAACAGAACTCACTGGACCTGGTTCAGTTTTCTACAGGACAAACATGAACAGGTGGACTTGCTGCCTGAGCTGCACTCGTTGGGATTTTATGTTAAAAACTCGACATGTTGTTGATTAAAAACCTGATTAGCTGCTGTTCTTATGACCCAGCTGACATGGCTGTTTAGTTCTACTTCAAAACTCGTGAGGCTTTTTATTTCCCTGTTTGCTGTGCACGCCTGGAAGTAATGCAAACTGTTGTCATTTTTTTAACAGATGCAGTGAACACATAGAAGATGAAAATCCTCAAGAAGGACAAGCGGCAGGTTTGTTTTGACCTCACACACGTGCACCATAAGAAAGCTGCCACAGTCCAACACGCATGATTTTAACCATCAGGTACATATGTGTACATGATGCAGTGTAACACGGGCTCTGAAGCATTCAATCATCAGAGGGCTTGCCAGAACAAAAGGTATAGTGGGCCTGCAGGGTCTTAGTTTATCGTTTTTGTATTGGAATGACCCCCCACCTGTGCATGTTGTGAGCAAGAGAGCTCCCAAAATAAGAAACGAGCCAACTTCCAGTTTGCTGTATGGCTTCAACTCAGTGTAAGAAAAGTTCCTTTCAAATACTGGATTGCCAGATCAAAATCCAAGATGGCTGCCACCTTTTTATTTATATATATATATATATATATATATATATATATATATATATATATATTATACACATACTGGTATATAAGTAAACCATGTGAGCTGGATAACTTTAGAAAAAAAAAGGCAACGTGCTCACTTCCATTTTGGTGTGTGGCCGCCTCAGACAAGCCAAAGAATAAAACTACCCTGTTCTCCACAGTGTAGCTCCAACACACTTTGACATCCATCCTTCCATCCATCCATCCATCCATCCATCCAACCATCCATCCATCCATCCATCCATCCATCCATCCATTGTTACCGCTGCTTCTTTTTCGGGTCATGGGGGGGTCACTGGAGCCCCATATCCAGCAGTCACCATGTGAGAGACAGAGGACACACTGGACAGGTGTCCAGTCCTTCACAGGGACACATAGAGACAAACGAGACAAACAACCATTCCCTCTTTAAACCGCTGGTTTATGTTAAATGTTAGACCTGGACCACTCAAAACCCAAAACAACGGTTTGAATCAGATTGTGTGACGGACGGTGAACCTTCGATAACAAGCTGGAACATTTCTGAACCAACGTCAGAACATCGATGTAGGAGTATTGAACCGTTTCCTCTACGCTTCATTCTTCAGACTAAAAATAACCGAGTGTTAAATATTTTCAAATAGCAGCAAATACGTATGAACACAGATTCATAATTAGATTGATGTTGTTGCCTCTAATCCATAAAAAATCCATGTTGTATATATATTAACTTGTTTATTAGTAACCTTTCAACAAAGAGTTAAAGTTGTGTTTCGTTGTTTGAATATACAGTAGTTATTTTCTGTCCCATTATAAATAATTTAGTTAAGCCAATATTACGACTGTTGGAGAATCAAAACAATTATCAGCTATAATCAACAAAATTTATACTCACGACACGTTTGCAGCGATTGTAACCGCAAGTCTAAAAAATGTGTGTGACACCGCAGTGAACAACATGCATGTTTATTTGTCCCAATTTAGTCCTAATCGTGTCTCAGTTCGATCTCAGTTTAGTCTTTTTGTTTCCAAATTGTCAAAATCTGGTTTCAAAGTTGTCTCCCATTTCTTGTACTTTCTGGCTCATAGAAACTAAAATGATGCAGTTTTCCTTCAACCACCAATATTTTAAGTAAAAAAAAAGTTTAGCAAATATGTTGACCTTGTGACCCCCTGGTGAACGTTTCAGGACATTTAGGAAACTCCCTGTTTTCATGAAGAACACCCCAAAACCTCCATGTTTGGGGGTCCTCCTTGTTCTGTTCGTGCTGATGTTTGGAACGTGCCGAAGGTTTTGTGTTGGTTACAAAGAGTTTAGTGTTTTATGTGAACTGGTGGACTGAATGTTCTTCAGGGTGAGCTGTGGCAGAAATGACAGATGTGACGTTCAAACGAGAAAATACGGGAATAACTATGAGACTTCAGAAACTCGTGTGCATTAAATAATTCACCCCCGATCTCAAACTGCTGCAACTGGACTTATAAACCTGTGGCTCTCGGGTGTTTTCATCTGACAACTTCTTTTGTACGGTTTTACTCGGTCAGTCCATCGATCGGCTGCCACTTGTTCTGGACTCGGGTCTCAGGGGCAGCATCTTGATCAGGGAGAACCAGACACCTCTCTCCACAGCCACCACTTCCAGCTCCTCTGGGAGGACTCCAAGACGTTCCCAGTCCAGCTGAGAGACTGTCACTGGTGAAACTGGCCACATGCTGCCCACAAGTGAGTTTTCAGAGTCCAGCGAGCAGCGCAGATAAAAGCTCGGCTGCTCTTACGTGCTGCTTAACGCCTTATATGTGGGACAGACGTGTTTGTGCTCATGATGTTTCATGGCTTAGATTAAATTATTAATCCAAAACTTGAATTTTACAGTTTGGGAGTTTGATAAACCTGCTGACGTGAAAATAGCAACACGAGTCTTTAGGTAACACCCAAATATGTATCTGATCTAGTTTTACAGCGCAGCTCCTGATGATGTTGATCAGTTGATTTGATCAGCATCACCTGACTGGTATTTATCCTTGTTCTGGTGGAAACTGGGTTTAGTTTCTCCACAGCTCACTGTGTGAACACATGCCCAGAAATGAAGGGATGCTTCATGTATTTTATTATCCTGCTTTGACTTGGACGTTTGTATTTGTAATTATGAATAAAGCTGAGCAGAGTGATGAGTCAGAGGTTTTAGTGAGGTGACTCAGCAGTTTCCCAGCTGATCCTGCAGCGCCACGCTACCAGTCATATTTACAGAACTTTGCTTGATTTCATCAACGTTTGAGCTTTTATTCATCCAATTATTATTTACTCCATTTAATTTAGTCATATTCTAAGAATCCTGGAAGGTTCTGGTTTAAATAATGATTCACTTTATTGAATGACAGCTCTGACCCATACTTGTCTATAAAACGACAAAACTGGTTCTGAAAAACATTAATTTGATGAAAAAAGATTCTTCCACATTTTAGTTATGGTTTCTGTGTTTATAGCTTGGTCAGGGTTCTGTTTGCGCCTCATTCTGGGTCTGAAACATTTTTCGTGTTCTGTGGGTTTTCTTTATTACAAACTCTTGGGACTCGGTACTTGGCCTTGGGGCACTCCTGTGGAAAGTTCATTTTAGGGAATCTTAAGCCTTCTTTACAAAACAGTTGAGCAACATGGCCACTAAGATAAAGTCCCTCTTTAATCTGCCTCAGGTTGTTCACTGTGCACGTTATTTTGTTGCCTCTTCGTACCCTCCCTCCTTGGCCAGCTTTCTGGCCACCTGGGCCACCGTAGACCAGTGTTCTTATTTAGCGTGGTTTTTAAACCAAAGCATTTGGGGCATGTGCCAGAAAACAGCTCTTCCTGACGACTCTGAAACAGATTGAGAGATCAAAACATTTTGAGACATTTTGGAGACGTCCTCAGGAGTGCTGCTTATCAACTCAAGCGGTCGCAGCTCGGTGCCGCCGTGCACGTTCACTTGTTTTCTGAGCGCGTCCGACAAAAGAAGAGAAACGCAGGCACTTACACGGTCGCCCTTCTTTCCTGGCAGCGGGTGATATTAGTTCTGTCTCAGACATGTCTCTTTGGACAATGAGTCCTCGGGACTCGGTGAGACTAACCTGTATAAATAAAGTCTGAATGAACCGACCTGTAAATTTAGACGCGTCTGATTGGTCCCAAACTTTTCTGCGTCACGTGTGGAGACTGAAGAGGATGAGTCATCCAGCACGAGCGCCTGATCACCGGGACATCAGAAATGAATAAACGTGACGTGGGATTCGTTTCTGACACGTTTTCACTGTCGGCGTGAAAACAACGAACGTTACGGGAACATCAGGCGCGCTCGTTAATCCAGATGTTCAGAGCAGCCGTGAGGGAAGTGGCAGCATTGACGGGACTGCGGTGTTCACACACTCTCTGTTTGTGACAGACTCTACGTGCGTGCGTGCGTGCGTGCGTGCGTGCGTGCGAGGCAGTGGTATTGATTCATAGGCGTTGTGCTTGCAGGCAGCTCCTCTCCTCTTCGACTTCACCGGACCTGCTGCTGCTCCTCTACACCACGTGTGCATTTGTGTAGATGAGTGTGTGTGTGTGTGTGTGTGTGTGTGTTTGGATTAAGAAGCGTTTTTTTTTTTTTTACCTAAATTGTGAAGTGTGTGTTTGTGCGTCTTTAAAAGGGTCTGTTTTTAGTGGTGTGTATCGTCATGTGGGTCCTGGAGTGTCCGTGTGAGAGTGAAACTTGGTGTGTGTTTACGTGTTTGAGGCGTGACGTCACGTGACGCCTCGGTTATCTGATAACCTTGAGCAAAAACACCAGTTTCACCATTTTGAACCCAAAAAATGAAGCGGAGTTCTTTCATTTCGTCACCTTTGCTTCCTGAACATCACACAGCGCCTGATGATGATTAGTTTATTGATGTGTTTGTGTGACAAAACGAAACTCGATGAAGTTCTGATGAATTTAATGCACAGATGTAAATGATTAGAGACAAACGTTTGAAGTCCCCCCTCGGCCTTCGTGCACGATCGGAGGCGCGGCGCCGCTCAGCATTTCTTCTGACCGGAAGAGAAAAAACGAATCAGAAAACACTTCGTCTCTGGGTTCTTTTATTTAAAGGCTCGTAAACCGCAGGGACTCCAGGACAAAAACAAACAAAACAACAACTTTGTAATCCTGCGTCGTGTGAATATCAAGCTGCAGTTACATGGAAGCAGCTCGGCTCGGTTTGAGGTTAGCTCTGGAGCTAATTTTAGCTTCTCGGCTACATGTGGCTGTAAGAAATCAAAGCACTGATTACGAACTTTACATGAACGGTGCGTTCAGGTGCCAGAGTTTGTTGTGTAATTCACCGTCGGATTTAATAGTTGTTTGCTTTTACCAACTCGTAAAGAGGCTGCAACTGTCGTTTTTACAAACAACGAGCTAAAACTTGGTGCGGTAGTACCTGAGAGTCATTCACATCGCTCTGTCTGAGCGCCAACACATAACGTCACCTTCAGCTTTGGTGAAAGCAGCTAAAACTCAGCGGGCGATAGACATTCCTTCAACGAATGCCAAACCTTTTCTGTAACTGAGTCAACCTGAGTCCGTAACTCTGTGGAGTTTCCCTGTAAACCGTGGCCTACTTGGTAAAAAGTGGCCCAGTTTCATCCTTCATCGTTTT